ATAGATTAATAAGAAAAAAAATGAATTTGAACAATTGTAGTATCAGGCTGCAACATAACAAAATTGAAAAATGTAAAGAGGGTCTGAATACTTTCCGAATACACTGTACTATCTACCATTAGACAATTAGAAAATTAACATATTTTGATATTTTAATAAGGTATGAAACTCTAAAGAGAACATTTTCAAAATAAAATATAATTTAATATAAAGTATATGAATTAGCAGTATCAGTGCTTACCAATTCTTTTCTAAGTTGAATGAAAAACTGTTTGCACTTAAAAGAAATTTTTATGATCTTCAACCTAATGAAATAAAAATCAAAATGAGCTAATCTTTCTTTCAGATGTATTAGTTGGATAAGGATGGTAAGTATATTCAACATTCACAAGAAAAATATCCATCATTTCATTTACCTGTGTAAACCTGTTCTAAATTTTATTACCGTAGCACTTTACCTCAAAGAAGACTATTTATTCAATTTATTCATTTTATATTCAATTTCAAGACTATTTACTCAATTTGAATTCAAAGAATTCAATTTATATGGGCCACCCATCTCTTAAGTTTATCAAGATATGATAAATTATTTCTACATACAAAAGCTATGAATGCAGGAAATAGTCCAGGCAACAAATAAACTATAGATTCCCATCTTGAATAGTACATTATTGTCACTGGAAAATACCACACCGATGCATGAAAAACAGGGACAAAAATTATTTAAACCCATTTAAATCATGAGCAAGGTAACATTTTTAAAAAGTTACATAATCTCTAATACTATAGTTCTACATTGGCCTGATAACTGGAGCAGATAATTAAGTCAACAAGTGGGCCAGGGATGGGGATGGTGTATCCATCCTGACCCTACTTGATCTCTTCGCTGTTTTTGATACCATCAGTCATGGTATTCTTCTGAGCCAGCTGGTTCTCCTCCTCTCTCCAAGACCAGTTCCATTTGGTGTTGATGAGGGGCAGGATAGGGAGGGGAGAAGTCCAGTCCTAGGCCTTTGTTCTGTCAAGTGCAGCAAGGCTCAACTCTCTCCCTGCTCCTATTTAACATTTACATGAAACCACTGGGTGAGGTCATCTATCGGCATAGGGTTAAGCACCATTAGTATGCTGATGATACTCAGCTATACATCTCTGCCCTGGGCCCCCCAAGTGATGCCTGGCGATTTCCCAATGCCTGGAGGCTATATGGGCCTGGATGGGGAAGAATTGGCTTTGGTTCAACCCTGACAAGACCAGTTGGCTGTGGGTTTTAGGAGCCCCCATATCTGGTGATTTGACATATTTAACTCTGGCCAAGGTGACATTCCTCCAGTCAGAGCTGGGGCGCCATCTGAGGGTTCTCCTGGACTCTTGACTCCGGCTCAAAGAGAAACAAATACATTTTGTGTGCCCAGCTGCGCCATTTCCTAGATCGAGGGGCACTGCTCACAATCACAATCACTCATGCTTTAGTTACCTCCCAACTGGACTATTACAATGCACTTTGCATGGGTCTGCCCTTGAAGAACATTTGGAAAATGCAATTGGTCCAGAATGCACAATATTGAATGCTGACACTGAGAGTTGATAAAAAAATTAGTCCGACATGTTTTAGCCCCCCAAAATTTAATACATAAATCCTGCAGCAGAAGTAGTATAAAAATATACTGTATCTTACAATGCTGAGCCTTTTTTTTTTTTTACATAATTCTTGGTATACAATAATACCAGTTGTAAATATCAAAAAGGTGACCAACTTAGATCTTATGTATACTTAAAAACCAAAGCTATCACTTTGTAGTACAGGTGGTCCTCATTTAACAACCATCATCCAGTGACCATTCAAATTTATGACCGCACAGAACAACTGGTAGTTATGACCAGCTTACATACTTACAGCTATGACAGTGTCCACAGTCATGTGATTGCGATTTGTAATGTTCCCTGCCAGCTTCTGACAAGAAGAGTCAATGGGGAAGCCAGCAAGAAGTCACAAGTCACGGTCACATGAGGTTCTCACTTAACTTACAACCATGTTGCTTAACGACAGAAGTTCTAGTCCCAATTAGCATTGTTAAGCAAGGACTACCTGTACATAGGAAGTAATAATGCTTGTAAAAGATATCCTTACCATGGAAAGGTGTTAATTCGTACCCTGTTCTTATAAATGAGTATGCCTCCTGACATTACTCCAATCATAATTTCATTATTACTTTGATCCTATAAAAAGAACAGGAAAAAGATGAATACTTATTCATTTTCTCTTTTCTTGTGTGAAATATTACAACTTTTATTATCTGTAAAGAAACAATATGTCTTCCTTGATAAGTCTCTAATGTCTATTTGCATTAAGGAAAACATTTTTTAACTTAACATCATATTCTGCCTCTTCTGCTTTCCCTATACTCTCACTATCAACCAATGTTTTAAGGCTCTCCTGGTATTTTCCCTTCAATAAAGAACAGATGCTCTAGTGTGCAACATACCTATGCAGTCTAGAAAGCATGGAAAAAAATAATAAAAATGGATCCTTACACATAGGCCTTATTTGTGTGTTACTATTGTATATCTATTTAAACACAGCTGATTTTGAGGACCTACCTTATGGAACAAAATAAGAATCATCACAAAACGTGGAATTATACAGTACCCTGCTATGTTATTATAATGTCTGTATAAGATTGCTTAAAGTTTGACCAAACTATATGCATCCATATTTAATCAGAATCATTAATATTAATTAATAATTAAATAAATAATCAGAAACCCAGCAGTGGCAAAGGTCTGGGCTAGATCCAGGAAGAACATAAATTCTAGTCCTCTCTTAGGCATGAAAGCTGGCTGGGTGACTTTGGGTCAATCACTTTCTCTCAGCCCAACCCAATTCCAGGGTTGTTGTTGTGAAGAAAATAGAAGGCATTAAGTATGTGTGTGACTTTAGTTCATCAAAAACAAAGGTGGGATAAAAATCTGATCATAAATAAAGAATAAAAATTGATCAGTATTGTTTCCATATTTAATATTGGAATAGTAAGGTACAAGTATTAATATTTAAGATATGCTTATTTGTAGCAACTGTAGTAATATCATGAACATAAATCAAGAATCTTTTCTTTCCTCCTGTATGTATGTACTCGTGCTTTTGCAAAAGTTGTAACACTACATTTGATGGAAAAACTATTGCTTCGTTCTTCACTTTTACTCTGAGTTCAAAATCTTGATACAGCTATGGCAGGACAGGAAGAGATGATGCTGTAAAATACTAAATGTGACCCTCCCAAGAAATGTAATACTGTAACTGAACAATCTGATTAAGCATGGTTGTCTTTAAATGCCCTGATGCAGACACCATCACAATAGTATGCTATGTATAATAGGAAGTGGCTGCTAGCCTTCCTCCCAAATCTGTTCTCCCTCTTTTCTGGGCTTAAAGAAGGTTCAATATTTAATTGATTAACCAGCAAATATAATGTATTAAATTAGCTCTTATGACTAAGTTTATTACTCATACTGTAATCTTCCTTTTCTGATTAAAATATACGTTAAACACTGAATAAATACCCTTGATTCTATCATGAACTCTGAATTATGAGATCACATGCATTTCCTGATTCTTTAAGCTCTTTATTACTATAGGTAAGAACTGCCTCTATGAAAAAGGACAAAATTTATAGTATCCTGTTCCTAAAAATAGCCAGTTATTGTTCAGACTTCAGAAACTGATATTAGCCTTTTGCATTCCACGTCAATGTATTTATATACTTAAGTGGAATGGGGGCTATGGGAGAGGGGAAGAAAAGACATATCTGTGAAAGAGTGTAACTGCTACAGCTGGGACTGTGAAGGGGGGAGGTCTACTTCACATATACATCCATCCAAACACAACAAAGGCTCAGCTTTGGAATGATTTCTTCTCTTCTATTGGGCTAAAATGTATGTGGATGTGTCAGCAATGGATTGCATGTTCAGCTGAGCACCTACTATGCAGAAAGGATGAGAAGATGGAAGAACCAAAGTAATCAAATGCAGGAAGGAGGAAGAGAAGAAGCAAGTTAAAACTCAGCACTCAGTAGCTGTTTGAAGGAAAGGTCCAACCTGTGCAAAGTGCACAGTCTCTAGACAGACAGAGAAGGCCTATTCCACTTATGGAATGGTATTTCAAAAAGATAATAGAAGAATCACTTTTTAACCAATTTAGGAGAGAACTCAATTAGGAAGCTTCTGATTTCCAATTTAAAATTTCTGTCTGAGAAAAATAAATATATTCTATAATGCCTTAAAGGATCCTGAATATTGAAAGACAATAGAAAAAAATCAGTATATTTTGAGGTGGCAAAAATGCCAGTTAGTTGGATCAAGCTCTAAATATTGAAATGTTAATTTCTATTTTGAGTACAATCATATTTAAATTTTCAAAAACACGTGGACATAAACGTTGCCTTTTTCTTACTACAAATGCACTTACTTGCTGCTACAAACTTTCCTCTTTTATTTTAATAAGTTATGAATTAATTTAAATTTAGTTCTAAGGTGCCCCATGAAAATTAAGAGAAACAAGTTACCTTCCATCGACACAATTTATTTTATTTTTTAAGAATGCCATGTGTTTGAAAAACAATCTATAGAGTACAATTTAGAAGCAGTTAATGTTTACTCATATGTAAATGTGGACAAAATTACAGCCCTTTAAAATACTACTTTACAAGCCAGGTTAAGAATTTTTATTAAAAGCTTTGTTTAAGTGACACTGGCTATGCAAAACAAAACATACAGGGATTAAATTCTGAATATTTCATTTAACACAATATGTTTTAATTCATGCTTATTCACCCTGAATACTTAAATGTATTAAAAATTGTTAAATTTATACAAAACAAATTGACAGATGATATCCATTAAAAGAGTAGTAATTAATTTAAACTTACCCTTGCATAGTGCAGTTCAACTCCATAGAGTTCTAAGGTTCGGGCTGTACTGAGATAACTAAACTCTGCTTCAGCTGGAGACAAACCTCTATATGGAGGCAAAAATAGGCAAATGTTAAATTGTTCGAAATGCTTGTGAAATCTAAGCTCTTATCTAAAAACAAAGCTTTCTGTATGAGATATGGAATTTCAGAAAGAGAAAAAGATGGCAATAATGTATTAAACATTATTTTTAGCTAATACATTAGTTTTTGGATTTAAGAGTTTAATACTGGCAGCTCTGTAGATGCCAGAAAAATGCACTTTCAGTATTATACATAAACAGTTGATTGCAAAAGTGTATTTTTGCATAACTTATTTAATAGACACTGTTAGCAGGAACTCTACAGAAATATAGTCTCAAAAAAGTACAGGGGCATGCTGTTTCACAATATCTCTGAGGCAATCATGTGCCTGTTTTAAATGGCTTATTTCTCCATAAGAACTGAATAAAACACCATGCAATTAGCTAGGTTATAATTCAGACAGCTACTTTTGATCTGCACACACCTAATAGTTTTGGGTGCACAGAATTAGTTGTGTTATTCTTTTGATTATAACTTTATATTTTTTTCATGCTTACATATGTTGCTGATGTAGTTTGGATATTTCTTTTTCAAAGTCTTGAGGCTGGCCAGGGATGAAAGAGTAATCTGAGAGGTAGCCTGGGAAGTTATCTGTAAGGTTGTAGTCTCCCAGTTCAGCTGAAAGTTAAAATAAGCTATTTATATAACAGGAGCCCCACTTCAACAACTTGCAGAACAAAGAGTAGATATGAAAATAAAAACAGTTATCCCCTCAGATCTTTCCACAAATGAATCAACTTGAATGTAATGCTGTAAAGATGAAATATACATGAATCAACTCTTGAAACTTAGTGCCAGAAAGACTTCAAGCTGCTTTTAACCCACCTGGTGCAAATTTGCTTGAAAGCAAGGCCTATGAATCCCATGCAACCAGCCCTCAAAATATTTTTCACTGAATCATAGAACTAATTTAACTTAGTTATTTGATATTCTACTATCAATCCTCTAATATTAAATATTTGATGATAGTATTTGTATAAGCAAAATTTAATATCATTAAGTATTTTTGGAAAAGTTTATTTATATGTATAATCTACCATAGTAATCTAGGCAAAATTGCATTGTAAGTACACCTGGAACCTTTTCTTTGAAGTGCAACAACACCCAATTTCAAAGAGATAAGCTACAGTTCAATATATAAAGCTACTTGCCTCCCTGGGAGTGGCAGTTACAGCAAAGAAAACTTCAAAGAAATCCTGAGCTGCATACAATGTTCCTGGACTTGTTTTTAAATAACTTCTTTTGGACTATACTAAAAATAATTTATGTCTAATTAAGTGCCTTTTCTGTTGTAATACTGCATGCTTTTTTCAGAAAACCCAGTTCTCACAAGAAATATATTTGGTCCAATACCATTCTAATATTCCAGATTTTTAAAGTGTGTTTTCTTCTATGGTATAAATTTTTATAAAAGTCTAGAAATGTGAGTACAGACACAGTTAGTATAGATAAGATTAGACTCATACCACAAATCTCAAATTAATCAGTATTAAAATTATGTGCCACTATCACACAACAGTGGTTTTTGATGGATGTGTACTACATACTCTATTTTTGTGTAGCAAAAGTATGTGAAACTTTGCTTTCGGTAATTGGTGTTGCAATTGGGCAGCAATAAATGCAACTGCACATCAGCTAGGAGGAATTGTAGCACATTCCTCCTTACAGAACAGCTTCAACTCAGGGATGCTGGAGGGCTTCCTCGCATGAACTGCCTGCTTCAGGTCCTTCCACAACATTTCTATAGAATTAAGGTCAGGACTTTGATTTGGCCATTCTAAAATATTAACTTTCTTCTGCTTTTATCATTCTTTGGTCATACAACTTGTATACTTTGGGTTGTTGTCTTGCTGCAGGACCCACTTTCTCTTGAGCTTCAATAGACAGATACCCTGACATTTTCCTGTAGAATTTGCTGGTACAATTCAAAATTCATAGTTCCATCAATGATGGCAAGCCAGCCTGCTCCAGAGGCAGCAAAACAGGCCCAAACCATGATACTGCCACCACGTTTCACAGATTCTTATGTTGGAATGCAGTGTTTGCCTTTTGCCAAATATAACACTTTTCATTCAAGGAAAAAAGTTCTATTTTGGTCTCATCCATCCACAGAACATTTTTCCAATAGTCTTCTGGCTTATCCATGTGGTCTTTTGCAAACTGTAGACAGGCAGCAATGTTCTTTTTGGAGAGTAGCGGCTATCTCCTTGCAACCCTGCCATGCACATCACTGTTGTTCAATGTTCTCCTGATGGTGATCTCATGAACACTGACACTGCCAGTGCCAATGCAAGAGAGGCCTTTAATTCCTTAGATATTACCCTGGGGTTCTTCGAACTTCCTGGAATATTACACACCTTCTGTCAGGTTCAGCCCAAGAAACTCAGCGGGACGATTTGGGAACAGTTCAGTTACTTTATTAGCTTACACCTACTAGACAGAATCTTGCCAGACTAACTC